ATTTGATTTTAAAATTTGGCAAGAACAGCTTTTTTTTTTTTTTTTTTTAAAAAAAAACACAATACTTTTCATCTTCCTGGCTGAAGTATTTCAGTGGAAGCCCAAGAAGGTCAGAAGAAAGAGCGCTTTGAGTATTTATTAAAAAAAATAAATCCAACTTCAGAGGTCTCAACAACCAAGGGGGTATCAGTATCCTTGTCTTTAAAAATAAATACCTGCAAATTATTTCATCAATTTTTAAATCTATTTCACCCCCACAGGGCATACAATTTTTTCCTCAACGTTCTCAATATCTTTATGGGTTGGCAGCTCTGAAAAAGTACTTTTAATCAGAAAAAAAAATAAATGGGAAGAACAGAAAAAGAATGAGTTAATAATATGACAAAAAAAGGATAACAGTTCTGTGCATTCTGAATGCTCTTTAGTTCCTTGTCCTTACTATAGTATGTGTTCAGCTAGCAACACTACTGCATTTAGCATCAACATGTTTCAGTAAAATAATCTTATTCCCATCTCTGAATGGGTAATAAGACTAAGAATTAAAACAAACAAATAAACAAAAAACCCAAAACCAAAACAAAAAAAAACCCCAAACTGGTCCAGAAAGTTGGTATCTATACTTAAGTGGAAACATTCCTGGTTTGAATTAGGGGCTGAGGGGGCAAAACTGCTACTACCCATTAGCACTGACCATAGTGGCACAGGCATCTCAGACAGGGCCTACTGTCCTTACCCTCCTTCCCAATCAGTAAATCCTTAACTAATCCCTAACACATTACCCAACATAGGCTCTGTACCAATTTCTTTTAAAATGAAGCAAAAATTAAATGGGGGTAATGTACACATACAGGGTTAAATAGAAAGTGGAATTAAATGCATTAACTTATCCATCTGGTCACCTAAGCTTGAATATCTGACATCATCACAGTTAAGAATTCAGGAGATAGCCTCATGACCTTGCAAAATTAAATTCTGAATATAGGTGATAATCTTTAGGATTGATGTGTATTGGTAGATATTTAGACATAATTACATACAGTAAATCAGTACTTAAGTTAAAAACAAACAGAAAACCCCAAAAACCAAGTAGCTAACAATAAACCCTGTAAGGTCTGGCAATTTTCACTAGATTTACACATATTAGATAGTGATATGCTTTCTCTTCTGGGGTGTTTTCCATTCAAAACTTTGCTAACAATGGCAGCACATACTACCATAATTTTTTAGTTCTATTTCTGGACTAATAATCTCTAAGTAACTAATTTTAAATGGGATATTATACAGTTAAAGACAAATTCAAATTGCAAACACTAAAGAGCAGTACAGATTACAGAGTATAAAACAGTGATCTAAAAATCCCTTTCTCTGACCTAAAGAAGACTTTTTTTATTACTTGAAGTATAATGTGAATCGTCTTTAGCGTGGTATGATTTGTTGATTATACCAACTTACAGAGTAGTAGAGAAGCATATCAAAAATAAGAAATACAAAATCAAACTATTTGTTCTCACAACTGACAACTTGGGTGGCATGTAGTTTAATCATTACAAATCAGAAAAAACCCCAGCCAATTTAATAGAAGTTTACTGCTGCACATTTGCAAGAGAAACAAATAGGATTTCCTTATACTCAGAATTTCATACAATATAGATTTGTCATGGGACAAACAGGTGAAAGTTGTTTCAAAATAAGAGTTTGAAAGTGGCAATATACAAACAGCACTACTTTCAACATATCTTTGTTTAAAAGTATCCCAATATTTTCCCGAAGAATGGCTAAGCTTGTTGGCTCCACACTGTATACTAAGAGAAAACCTGAAACAGCCAAGAAGCAAGGATGAATTTATATATATATATATATATATATATGTATACTCTTGTATACTCTTAAGACATTCTTCATCAGCTTAATTCATAAAAGAAAAATACTCCAACATCAAATTTAAAAAACAAAAACAAAACACCTCCTAAATAATTTTTTTCCTTCATCTACTTAATTAGGCTTTTAAATATCTCTATCACCAACAAAAGCCTAAATCAACTTGTTGAATTTCTGGAGCAAGAAACCCATTTACTGCCCATTACCGAAATGAAACATCAAGTCAACAATATCCGATGTGCTAGAATACTAAATTTGCAGGTAAACTGTATTCTACTTGACACAAATTAATTTCACTTAGACATTTGCAGGGCTAATGTGCCATAATAAATTCTACTATTAATCAACAATAAAGTGCTAATTATAATAAATACCTGAATCTCACTCTCCTTTATGAAATTCTTTTATAGATTTCTTATCAAGTCAAAAGAGCCCTTTCTGTTGTAAAAGTTAAGCTATTATGCAAATATAAAAATAGGTAAGTTTAATTAGGAGCTATACACAACAGAACTTCTGCTTTTTCTTTAAGTATAGCTGACAGATAATAGAGATGGGAAAAAACATGCATTTATAAAGATATTAAAAATGAAGAAGAGGAGACACTGTTATAGAATTTCTATTACTCTGGCATACAGCCATTTACTATGTTAATGATACTAGATGATGCCTATATTTCTGGACTGATAAGCATCACACCACCAACATGCTTTAGTTCCTTTTGTAGCTAAAGAAGTTGATTTGTAAATTTAAACTATGGCATACATTTCATTTATTTCTCATTAGAGTGTATCATTAAGTTTGAGGTTCAACTTTGGACAAACTTTACATCTAAGTCACATAACCAACGCAAGCAAGACATTAGTGCAAAAGGGAAGCTGTCAGTTATACATGATGAGGACTCTTCCCCTAACTGCATAATGTGAGAGAACGATTATCAGATTAAAAATTCAAGTGGATTACCATGAGAACAAGAGAGATTTTCTTCTCCCAAATTTAGCACAGATTTCCAGAGGATCAAGAGGAAAGCAACCTCAGTTACAGCTAGAATAAAAAAAAGTTAAACCCCAGTTCAGAAAGGTGATATGTAGCTCCAAAATTTGTCATGCTATGAAAGCAGCATTCTCAAGAAGAGCTCCAAACAAAACTGCAAATCAAAATGGGCATTTAAGTTGAAATTGGCCAACTGCTGCATAGAAATATGCTCACACACAACAGTCGCATTTAAGTCAGTGCATAGAGAAGATAAAAAGCACTTATGGTAGTTGCAAATGTTAACAAGTCTATACAACTTGCACAGTTTAACAAGTCCATAGAAAAAGAATAGAGTAAGAGTAGAAATGCTCAAGCAAAACCAAAAAAGATGACCCTCCAACTGTATAAAATCCACACAACAGTTGTAGTAAAAAGACATCAGTGGAAAATATTCAACTCAGTCCTAAACACCCAACAGGCAAATAAGACCAGAACAGACAAGCCTTTGGCAAATAATTTTAAGAGTCTAAATATGGCACTACATTTCTAAATAATCCACAAAATATAATATATGGCATATTCAAATATTGGTTAACCAACTCTGCAAATGCAATGCTAACAACACTTTAGTCAATGACAGCAATATGGAGCAAACTAAGGGAGTACTGGTATATCACAACAGTGCTCAAGAAAAACATTGTCACCAAGTCATGCTTCAACAGCAGCACTCTGAGACTGCACACTATTATCTATGGAGCAAAACAAATTTCTCTAGTTTTTCAGGGATGTGTCCTGCATAGCATATGTTATGATTCACTATAACACGAGCAGCAAGACACTGCAACGTAGTATGATTTACAGGCTGGATTAAGTTTTTTGCTATTTTCTTCTCATCCAGCAAATCACTAGCAGTTTGTTTATGTGAGTTTGTGGCATCAAAGTGTGAACCTGACTTGATAAGAAAATTCATGATGCCTGGATGGTTGTTCAGTGCAGCAATATGTAAGGGACTGTTGTTATCAGAGTCTCTGACATTTATATTAGCACCACATTCCACCAGGATAGCAGTAACTTGTAGAGAGGGGAATTTACAAACTGGGTAGCGACCCACACATGTAGTATTCTTGTCAACAGCAAGGTGAAGTGGACTGAAGTTATTCTTCCCTCTAGGCTGAAGCTTAAGAAACTTGTAAATAGTCTGTTTCTTAAAATGCTCCTGTTCTGAGCTGCAAGGTACTTTCTCCAACAAGCAAATTAAATGCAAAATGATGGAAAGGGCTTTGTTCAGCTGTATTGGATCAGGAGGGCACTGGATTTGTTTCATGGCCCGCTCTATTTCGAGAACACTTTTGCACAGTATACCCATGAGATCATCAAATGTAACAGTAGTGCCTAGCAGGCCTTTTGCCCTGTCCTGCAGCATAAAGGAGAAGAGTTCAGCAAATGATAGTAAACTGCTGGCTGTCATAGGGCTCAGTGGATCTAGATTGCTCTGCTGCATGTCCAAAGCATATTTCCATAAGCTGATGCATCGCTTAAAGTTTCCAGAGTCTGCATAGACAGCACCTCTATATCTAATATAGTAGGACGTATCTGGGTGAGAAGGACCAAGAATACGTTCTCTAATTAATAGTGCTTGCATTCTCATCTCATCAGGGTCTGCAATAAGGTTTTCTAGCTCTTCTGGGCTGTTTACCTCTTTAGCATAATCATAGGCCATAATTAGTGTTTGTGGCACAGGTTTGTTCAGGATACTAGTCCTATCACTGTATCTCATTTCCATAGCTCGTTTCCAGTATTTCAAAGCGCCAAGCAGATCTCTCTTTTTGTCCACAAATGTTGCTCCTAGAAGTTCCAGAGCATTTATACATTCTATCTTACTGGTCTGTTCATGTTGGGTCAGAAAATCCACAATATTTGTGTGGCCTGTCACACTGGCTGACAGAAGGGGAGTCATTCCATAGCCATCCTTTTCCATCTTAGCACAATACTTGAGAAGCATCTTCATGATCTCTAAACTTCCAGATTCTGCACAGTCATGTAATGCAGTGTTTCCTAGCAAAAGAAGAAAAACAATTACATAAATCATAATCAAATTATAGTCCAAATATCACCACACTAATAGTTAAAAAAATAAAAATAAAATATGTTTTGACATCTACAGACTATGAAAGGCTTAAATGACAAGTTAAAACATTCAAGACCTGATTAAAACATCAAGGCTACCAGGCAGTTATACAAATCAAAATGCTTGACATTACCCAAAAGAATTAAACAGATTAAACACTTATGTCTCATTATTCAAAACTTAAACCAGAATTCTCTACATGAACAATTTTGTATCTGCTTTCAAGTATAAAACAGAAACCTAAGCTTGCCATCTTAAGTGGTTATATTTTGCTTTCTTCCCTTGCAAATTTATTTCCTTCCTCCCTATCTCCATCCATGATAAAAAAATAATAAGATCTGTATAAAAATTAAAGCTGTGCTAACTCAACATTGGCCTTGCTCACCTCTACGCTGTACCTCTTCCTCTCTCTTTCATCCAAAGCCTTTGATTAAAGTGTTCCAAGGTAATAATTGTACACAAAGGCAAATACAACTCATCACAATAGACCCTTCATCTCAGCTGGGGCCTTAGAGACTGCCAGAATATTCTGAGGGACCTGCTTATTTTGTCAAGCCTAAGTATACACACAGACAAACTATTCTTAGTACTTTATTAGGTCTTTATCCTGAAGTCCCACATTAACCCCTCTGCTCAGGATTCCCAAAAGCAAAAAAAAAAAAAACAAAAAAAAACAACCAAAAAAAAAACCAAACCCAAACAACAAAACACAAAAAATCCAAAACAAACAAACAATTCCTTCAACACACAACATGCAGCCATTTGTCTTATGTGTCTTATCATTTACATTAAGATTATTTCTCATTAAGAGAATGTGCAATGTCATGCTAAAGGCATTCAGGTGGCACTCACACTACATGGTAAAATTTCCAGCAAGCACTAGTGCCACCTGACTGAAAAAACATATTTGCAGCAAATTAAAAAAGAAAATATTTAACTGTGGTGTCCAATGTTTAACTACTGTGCTTCAAGTAGAAGAAAGTTTTGCTTAAGATCATATATGAGTATTTCACTGAGGGAGACAGGAAGATGGATGACCAATAACACCCCCCCCAACATAATAAAGCCTCTTGTGTGGTTGATTGCTTTTAAAACTACACAATTTAAACCTAGCTTCTTTTTCATATATACTACAGATTCAGGCATACCAACTTTTCAGCTTCCCACTACATTAACATGAAAATAATTAATAGCACACCCATGTAAGAATTCCAACCCCCCAATTAAAATGTCTTATACCACTAGCCTTGCAAATTCTGGTTTACTGGCCATCAGATCATCAGTATCTGTTACACCATCATCAAGTTTCCACATTCTCAAGTGAGACCTCCTTTTCCAAGGATTCTGTACGTTGATAGTCATCTGATTTGGCTTTTTAAAAGTTCAGAGAGAAAGTTCCCTAAAACTTCCTCATTTGCACTTTTGGCAGGCTTTTTTTCTATGCCAACAAGACACTGATTTGCAGTGGGCTTTGCTGTTGTATTTCTAGATCTATAACAGAACTGAAGTAGGTAGGGAAACAAAGCAGTAGTCTTGAAATCTTCAGCCAATGTTTGGGAAAAGTGCATTTTTGTAGGTATACGAGTGTTTAGCCAGTAAAACTCAAATCAGTCCCTAAAGCATGCCTGAGATTTGACTTAAAAGCTGAACACTGCACTGAAATAAACTGAAAATAAGATGGAGGTAAAGGCTTTCCATTAACAAATTCTTTCTGCCCAGAATGTATTGTTCATGCTGTCTTAAAAAGGTTAAATTCAAATGCAAAAATATTTAAGTTGGTACATGTATATATCTATCTACAAGAAAAAAAAAACCAAAACACCAAAAAAACCCTTGTATTTGTCAAATACATTTCAGAAATAGAAAATTTTGTTCCTCGTTCTCATTCCAATTATAAGAATCTGAATTAAGTTTATGTAAATAATCTTGGTATCTTCTAGCTTTTGACTTCACAGCATTCTTATTTCCTTTTTAATGAGAAACTTGGTAAGGGGATATGAAGTCAAAGTTTGAAGAAAAAAAAAGCAAAATTCAGAAATATCTGGCGAAACCATGATGATTGTCCTCTAAATGTGACCTACTTGTCACCAGCAGAACCAGATGCTTTAGATCCACCATGCAAACCTCTATCCTATCTTTTGAGTTAGATTATCAAGTAGTAGCTTGCTTTTATCTTCTGTAGATAAACCACTAGGATGACAACAAGCGTATCCAAGAGTTTTGCAAGTTTTAGTATACAGCAGAAGGATGTAGAAACTCAAGGTCTATTTAGATGAAAGTGTTCTAATGGGCACAGAATATTTTGCCTCTGTTCTCCTGCTAGTATTCCAACCATCCCCTCCTCACTCTCTCTTCTAATCTTTCACTTCCTGAAACTTTACATGTAAATTAATCTGATGCTTCTTTCTCAAACTTGCTTGTGGACCATCAGAGGAAGAATTGACAGCACATTCCAAGACTTGCTTATCGCTCTCAATTCCAGTAACCAGAAAGACAGTGGTAAGGAAGAACAGTAGTTATTCAAGACAAACTGAGTCTCAATCCAAACACACTGGATAATAAGAATTTAGCTACCACACTAATCAAATTCATACCAAAGGTGTGCAAAAAGCTATTTTCAAAAGATTATGACTACAGGCTAACAGGTTTTTACAATTATAGTAGAACAGGAGCTGTGATCACATTTTGTCCGCTCTAACAATTTTTTGAGCGCAAGTTCCAAACATTAAAAAAAAACCCCACCACCCAACCCACAAAAAGAAAACCCCAATCCCACAAAAAAAACCCAAACCCACAAAAAAAAAAAACAACATTAGATTGTTTATTAACATACAGTGAGCTTAACTTGCTAAATGTTCTTTTTCCAATACATTTCTGAATAGTGGCCAACTATTTTACTATCATTTACAAAAAAAGTAAGCTGAGGAAGACACCCCACAGAAAGCGGCACCCAAAATTATCTGTTAGATCAAGACTCATGAAACTAAACCCAGGTCTTTAATAGGAAGTGATTTTCAGTCTCAAATAACCTAGGCAATCTTTGTCACTAATGAAGCGTTAAGTCAGTGACAGGAACTTCACCTATAAGCTGGTCTGGTCACACTACAGTTTCTACCAAGACCAACAAAATTTCCAATCACGGGAATATATATTTTTCCAAATTTAGCTGGATTAAGAGTTTGGTTTGTCAACTGTAGTTTATTAACTATAATTCCTTCTTTATTATGGAAAACTGTTCATACCTCCAGATTGACAAGCATGAAACCTTTAAATTCCTAAGATAGAAAGAGATCAAAAGCAGACAAATACACAAAACCAGCTTGCCAATACACAGACACATTATAAAAGTCATCTTGCTGCGCTGGAGAAAGTCTAGTTAAAACTTAACTATAGCTGTCAAACCAGAAGTAAATACTGACTGGCTCCTTGGGCCATCTGCACTTCTGGAACACTCAGTGATGAAGCCAAAACCAGATCCATCTGGGTGTAGGCTGAGCCACCAGTTAATGAATACACCCTAAACTGGCTACAAGTCCATACTACCTCACTCACAGCAGAGCTCTGAAACACTAGAAAGGTCTTTTGGAGGGTGCAAATTCCAATGCCAATCTAGACATGGCCTGGGATGAAAAAGATTCAGAACTACAAGTGTTTGCACCAATGTATGTCAGAATCTTGTGTTAGCTGGGCAAATTTAACATTTAAATTTCAAAATATTAGTGTACATAGTTTATTTGAGGTGTTAGTTGATTTAAAAAATAAAAAACCCTCTCAAAAATGTTTTATTACAGACCATACTGTATTTGTTAAAATACTAGAGTCATCCTCAGGTCACAACTATTTCATCTTTACATATTATCATTAACAATCCTCTATTTTCTACCTTCAAGTCAATATTTTCAAGATATTAAAAAAGTCATAACATAAAAGCATATTAAAGACACACAAATCAAAATGCACTAGTAACACCAAACTTCTTACAATTGCTTCACAACTATTGATATACATCTTGCTAGCTTTGACAGTAGGATCCATAGCAGCTATTCATATTACACACTGTAGATCCATCACCACATGTTGCCCTTTACACTGTTTTATCAGTTGCCAGACATGTATGCTATGACACATTGTGCAAAAATTCACATAAATTAAGCTTAGCCATTGTCTGCATAAATTCAGGTACAAACCAACAGTTTATGTGTCATTAATTTACAATGCAGCTATGCAGAACGCACGGAAATATTCCTAAACCACCAAGGATTTTCAGTACTCTCTACACCTGGATCTCCTTCATTAAGAGATTTGCTTTATTAGCATTATAATTATTTACTCAAACAGTGGTTACTAACAGTGTATCAGAAGTAGGGCAATTTTTTAGCTACTTATATTGTAGTAGGCCTTGGAGACCACAATTATTTCAAGCAATGCACAAACTAATAAAGGAAAGCAATCACCACTAATTTTTAGTGGCTGCACCTCACTTCAGTTTGACTGGATGGAACAGCAGCAGGAAGGAAAGATTATAAGAATACAAGCTTCCATAAACTAAAAGTGGACATGGGCAGATAGATGGATATAGAGCTGCCAACTTAAACAAACAAACCCCCTCCCCCCCCCCCAACAAAACATGCACACACATAAAACCCAACCTTAAGAAATAACAAGAATTCCAGCCATCTACCTAGCAATTATCAAGTGTTAAATTTGAGGAAGAATTTAAGAGGACATGGCAGTTATCCTTGATATCTAACTCAAGGTCTATGTTCCACATGTTACCCATGAATTCAACCGTTCAAATATAAGGATGGCAAATCAACTATTATCCACTTCAAAAATACTATATTGTCTATAGTGACAGGAATAAACAGTGCCTGAACACTATCTATGCAGTTCTGCAGTTAAGTTAATCCAATTTTTGGAACAAATT